CCCCCCGCCGTCCCACGTACCCGACAGATGAACAGTTTGTGCTGCAGCGTCTGGCAGACAGTGCCATTGACCTCTACACCATGGTGGTAGTGCTGTCCAGGTGAGGGGGTGGCGTGGGAGGCCTGAGCCGCAGGGGTCCCGGGTCGGGGCTCCCGGCCCAGCTGTGTGGTCTCTTCTTGCCGTGCACCAGGGCCTCGAGATCCCTGAGCGAGGGCCACCCTACAGCCCAGCACGAGAAGATGCTCTGCGACAGCTGGTGTATCGAGGTGAGGCTCGGGGTTACCGAGGGCGCGCGGGGGGGCCGGAGGCGCAGGCCTGGACCTCTCCTGCCCTCTCCCCAGGCGGCCGCGCGGGTCCGGGAGACCATGACCGCTCTGCAGTCTGACCCGCAGCAACAGGAGCTCTTCCGGAACTTCAAAAGCATCTCCACGGCCTTGGTGGAGCGAGGCGGTGTGGTCACCAGCAACCCCCTTGGCTTCTGAGGACTCCCCGCCACCTGCCCGCCGGCCCCCCCTGTGCCTTCTCCCAAGCCAAAGCCCAGCCCCCTCGTTCTGCCTTAAGGAGGGCCTGGCCCCCGGGCGGCGGCTGCTCTCGGAGGCCCACTGCCTGCCTCACAAGTAAAGGTTCTCACCAGCCGTGCCTCGCTGCTGCCTCAGTTCTCTCCCTCACTGCCTGCCTCCCTCCCAAAGAAAGGAGCCAGAGGCGTGCGCAGTTGGCCTCTATTGCTTTATTTGGTGTCTTATACAGGTGACTAAATAAATAGAGTAACAAAAGCAGCTACACGGGCCCCCGAGACCGAACACCCCACCTTCGTTTGCTGTCTAGGGTGCCCAGCCCTTCCTCCTCCCAGGGTACCGCTGACCACCGCTACCCTGCACAGGACAGAGTTGGACGGACAGAGGAGGAGGTCACATTTCAGGGTTGGGAAGGGCCCAGGAGATAGAGGTTCTTCGTATAAAAAGAGAAACGTCTACTAAAAAAATAGTCCGAAAAATGTACGAAAGTCTACTTCAACCCCCCCCCCCAAAAGGCGTACAAAAACAGTAAAGCTAAAAATA